AAGAATGACAACGACCTTTTCGAGAAACCACAACACCAGAGTACTGCCAAGTCCCTCAAGGTTTCCAGATCTAAACCCCATCGAACATTTATTGGATGTTTCTGATCAACGTTTGGGATCGCGTCATCAACACAGCACCTCCACGAGCACTGAAGGAAGAGTAGATGAACATTCGCCAGACCCACAATTCTTAATCTGATTGTTCCATGGCAGCTGTTGACCCTCCATCTCCTTGACATTCGATTGTTTCATGTGTGTCGTACTGAACCTCGTTCAGTGACACTCACATACATTTTTTTAAAATCACAAACTGTCAGGTCAATAACCTGCTACATATTTAAACCTAACTACATTTTTTGGTTATTTTGTTATAAGAAAATACGTGTCAGTTTTCTGTGTTTGCACAGAAATATTTTGTAGCCCTTTACACAAACACACAAGCGTCATCCCCACTCACCCATGTCACCCAGGACCTTCTCCTATGTGGACCCCACCCTCAGGATGACATTCTCAAGTTGAAGAACCAATCATTGTAGCTTACGACCTTGTGATATCCCTTAATATCACTGACCCAGGTGTCAAAGAGAAAAACAAGGACTTACCTTTCGCAAACATGATCCCTTAACTATGAGATCATGTGGTACAAGACAAAATGTTTTTACATTGGACATCAGTTGGGTCAGTGATACTTCTCGTTTTGAAATGTTCTCTAAAAGTCGACCAAAGAAACTTTTGGAAAACTTAGGCCTTAGATGTTGTAACCCTCAAACCAAGTTTTGAGTCATGTGTCATAAGGTGAAAGTCTTAGTCTTTGAAATATCCGAGGAAACGACACGTGCAATTGTGATATGCTGACACCAAATGCAGACAAAAGCTTAAATGATACAGATACCATTGACTTCTTGTAAACCGGATTGGTAGCCAATTTCCGTTCTGCAATGAGGATCGTGAAAACTGATGTGTATGAGCTATCACTCTTTAATTGTTGCAGCCGAGAAGGAAATAACAGCTTCTTCATGTTGCTGCTTCTGCTGCTGTTCTAATACGATATACAGATATACCATGGTGTATCCCATACATTATTATTATTGTTGTTGTTGTTGTTGATGTTGATGCTGCTGCTGCTGCTGCTGCTGCTGTTGTTACTCTAATACGAACATACGATGGTGTATCCCATACATTATTATGACACAAATGTAAAAAAATATGCCAATTTAAAATTTGTTTCGCTTTTTGTTTCATGTTGTTGCTTTTTTGATACCAGGCATTCCAATCATTTGATAAAGACGTCTTTGCATCAAACAGATGACAGTAAAATGCTTATGCAATAACATCTTATTTTGTGTAGCTTCAGTCAGCATACATCAATCATTATGAAACATCGACATTTAATAATAGTGTGGCAGGAACACCACCCCTCTCATAACCTGCGTAAAGGTCACTGTTCCCTCTTCTAAATATCTCAAAATAATGTTCTCCCTTATATCATTTTCTGGTTCTGTAACATTGGCAATAATTATTTTCCATTATATTCCAGTTTATATCTCAATTCTACACTCAGGAAATTGAAAATAGAAAATAGTGACTCCATTCGCGGATCTTTGGAACATGATTGATTTAGGGGTTAGTGTTGTGTTTTGCAGGAACCTATTGCACAAACGTTGTTCACACCTGGGTTCGATTCCCCACATGGGTACACATGTCCAGTGTCCCCAAGGTGATATTGCTGGAATATTGCCAAAGACGGTGTAAAACTAAACTTTCTCGCTTATACCATCATTATTGTATTTAGGTTTCTGTCTCAAAAAACAAGTGACGCCCATTTCTGGTGTCCCCCGCCGTGATATTGCTGGAATATTGCTAAAACGGCGTAAAACCATACTCGCTCAATCAAAAAACAAAACAAAAAAACACCCAAGACATGTCGCAAGCAGTCAGTAATATGCACACCTTGTGATTAGTTCTAGGAATATATGTCCTTAAGCTGACAATCTCATCCTCCTTCACATGTGTTCGCCTGGACAATAGTTCAAATAACTAAACACAATCACTGACAAGAATTTGGAAGAGTAATATTTAATAGACATGCAACACAAACACCGTGGTTGCTTTTTGTACAAGCACTCGCAAATGTATAATGCAAATTAATTCAAAAGGATTTTTAAAGAATCTTACAGCAAGAGTTATATTTATTCAATACTGTATGATAATATAAAATTCAAGAGCAGAAGACACAACGCGGGCAATATATAGGCTGTCTTTGACTGAATGTAAGCAGAAGTTTTCCTTTAATGTATGCTGCACAAAACAAAAGCATTTAAAGTTCACTTTGTCAAAGAAATGGTGGTAACAAAAATAGATTAGCTGTATCTCGCCAAGTAAGGACCTGGCTCAGTTCTCAGCCACATTTCTAACTAACTGAAAGGTTTTGCTGTGAGCCAATTCTGAAACAAGGATATGACTGTAGGCAAACCCATTTATCTTTGAGAGGGTTTCTGTTTCGTTTTGTACCAAACAATCTCTGCCAACAGCGTCAATAGATTGCAGATCAGTCCAGCTCCAGCAGCAAAGAAGACACTCTGGATCTTGACCAGTCGTAGGTTTCCACTGGACATCCGTCATATTTAGTGGACGCAAACCATTCATGTACGCTGCAGGATGCCACTGTCGCTCAGAAGGTACATACTGATGAGGACAAAATATAACCGTTATTAGTTGACTGACGCCGAACATTTAATCGTAATCAAGATGTGACAAGATGACTGTGAGCATATAATCGTTGTTAGTTTGTTAGTGTGATATGACCAGAGTATTACTATGAATTTACGTGGAACTAGTAATTGCTATTAGTTTACCATGTGACATGAATTGTACCATGGAATTGACGTTGAATATATAACCGTTATTAGTTTAAGATATGAGTCTTACAATGAACTGACGTCGAACATATTCCAATATGTTCTAATTATATTCAAATACTATCCCGAGTGGCGTGAAAACTAAACTCAAAGTAGCTAACTATACTTGTATAACATCTCTCAACTGGTTTCAACACAAGATATCACTTTGGTTGTAGGTATTATTGATCAATGCAACTGTATCGCAATGCTTTAGAGACCAATGTCACATGGTCAGTTATGACGTCTCTGTTAAATGGGATCTCTGACCTCTCTGTCCCTGATGCAGGTTTGGTATTCTTTATAAACACAGGATACCTGTAATTGCTGTTTTAAAACTGTTTGTAAAAATGATTTTAGACAAACAAAAATAGAATCCCCAGTAACTGTATATCAGTTAAATCTGGAGGTTTCAAACGTCATCATGTCTGTTTAGTTATGATAAACACTTGCCAAATCCGAAAACATAAATAATATTGTGTGACCAGTCGAGGTTTCAAACGTCTATAGTTCTGCTATATCCGAACAAAAAATAACTAACATATTCATTGACAAAGTTCTTGATTAAATGTAATTTGGTATATCGACACGATTTCAAAGCCGGATGCTGGTTTGATATTCTTTATAAACACAAGGTACCGGCTATTGATAAGTGATAAGATTGAAAAAAATGATTTTAGAGTCCCTCCTCAATTGTATACCAATTAAATCTGATGTCAGGGGATACTCCAAATATAAATAGATTTCATTGTCCTGAAATATCAGATTTCCTCTGATCTTTGGTTTTATAAACACAGGACATCTACACAATCATGCCTTTTTTAGAAATCCTTTTTGAAGGGGGACGACTTTTGGAGATCGAAGGCTGTAAATGAGCTTTCAAATGTGGTGTCAATCACTTTGGTTTGCAGTTGGTATGGCGTATTGCAGAAAGAAACGTGCCTCCTAAAAAGGCGTATTTTCCGTCCCATACTTTTTGCAGGTGCTTGTTTGTGTTGCTGCTCAGTACATCAGGGTCTCTGGTGGATAAGTCTTGAACTCTTTGTCTCATTGCTATGACAATTTGAAACCTGAAATTATTAGTAGAGTGCATTTACACTACAAAACTGTAACTAACACAAAAAGTTGTCACTGGTACTATTAGCTATCAAGATGCGTTTTTCGAACTAGTTTCTCCGTGATTTACTGTACCTGAAGAATGTGTTTACATGACGATTACACCAGCACTTGTGCATTTCAAATATTTTTGATTCACGTAGGGTACTATACCAATAAACGCGCCAAGATGTTAACGAGAATTATGATTTGATTATTTTAACAAAATTAAGACGGGCTGTTTGGTAAGCCAGTTATCAAAGCATTCGTTCGTCACGCCAAAGTGAGTGAGTCAGTGATTAAGTGATTGATTAAGTGAGTGAGTTAATATTTATCGTCTAATCGTAACGAGAACAATCAATTATCATAGTAAACATCAATAAATTTAGAAATTAAAAAACCCGAAGACGTTGAAGACGAACAGTAAAAATACCAGAGTCTCACATAGAGTGAGTGGGTGAGTTTAGTTACGCCTCACTCAGCAATATTCCAGCTATATGGCAGCGGTCTGTAAATAATCGAGTCTGGCGTAGACAATCCAGTGATCAACAGCATGAGCATCGTTCTGCGCAATTGGGAACCGATGCCATGAGTTAACCAAGTCAGCGAGCCTGACCACCCGATCCCTTTAGTCGCCTCTTACGACAAGCATGGGTAACTGAAGGCACATTCTAACCCGGACCTTCACTGATCAGTATCACATAGATGGTAAAACTAGCATGTAATAATAAAACGATATTATCATAGAGAACAATACAATATAAAAATGGGCTATAGATCACCAGCAACCGAAGATAGGTCACGTGGAAGACGATGGCTAACATGGGAACTATGTGTAAATCCTATTTCTGGTGTCCGCCATGTGAAGTCACATGAGAATTCAACTGGCCTTTGCCACGGAGTAATCTTAAAGAGGACAGGAATATGATATATGTGATCACTGATACAGCAAGCATTATAAAGACTTGAGGTTGGAACGGTCGGAGAAGGATCAGCAGATGGTTCTCGTCAGCATTTTGCTTCAGCCAGCAGGTTCAGTACATGGTAAGGAAACCAAAACACCTTCCGCTTGCCCACTTCAAGGTAGCCATAGCCAAAGTCGTTGGTCTGTAAGTACATATGACAGCCACATTAACATACCAAATCAGTGCAATTTAGGAACAAATTGCAAATATTGACCCGGAGTGGAAAACCATGCATCTCATTTCAGCATTCACATATTATAAAATTGTACTAACCGGTAACTGCATAGAGTTAGTGTAAAAGAACGCATGATTTAATTGATAATGCCAAGAAAAGTAAATTGCATCTCTTAATACATTTCTCCTTTTCTAGACTGAAGCATTGCACAAAAGGGAAAAAAAATAATGACAATTTCTGCTTAATTACCTATATCCAATAGGGCTGACATTTTTTATTCACGTCTGTGAAAGCCCGTCCAAAGGGGTGAAACATTAGCGTCCACATTCTTGCCCTTGTGAACAGCCCCTCCTGTCAAACATTCATAAAGAGTTTAACACTGGCTTAGTCCTGATGATAACTCCTTGCAATTCCAAGACAAGCATCTTTACATGTGATTTGAGCAATTCTGTGACTCATGCAATCAAACAAGACTTCATGAAACTCAATGGTCAGAATTATATTTTGTATTGGAAACGTCAGCTTTTGTGTAGATAACAAAATCTGCATAGATTTGAAATATATTATTCAAACTGATCTGAATATCTGACTAGAGTACATGCATCTGAACTGAAATACCAACAAGGCCCCTTTATCCTCTTTGACTTCACTGATTCAGTGCCAGTCAATGATTTTATTTCAGTATTAAGGTCTCAGGCGCTCGTACAGTTAATATAATGACGGTATTTGTAACATGAGTGCAGCGGCAAATATTTCCAGTTGTGAAGATCAGAGATTCATTGCATCTTTAATGTGATTTAACATTTAAGCTGACTTACATTAGGATTATCATCAAACGATCCATTGGGTTAGCATAAGTATGGTCAATATTTTGAATCAATAGTAAAAGATACTATGCCCTCTGACAAATATCATCCTAGGAACTAAACACTGTGACAATGATCAAAGTGGCCGCAGCTTGACGACACACAGTTGCCTAGGTCACACCAGCGGGTTATCTTTCATTACCTGTCAAGTGAGTTCAACAAGCACAGGGTGGTGAAACATTTCTTGTCCCCTATCCGTCGATATCCCGTGTTTAAGTATGAACGTTATATTTACTTTCAACACTTGTCTTCTTGTGGTCATGGTCCTCCTATCGAACTGTGGTGTTGAATCCATGGCTCACCTGACTTGAAGGCAGTTCCAGCACCGCCACGTTCTCTACCTGGATGTTACTGTCCAGTAGTACAGGTAAGTCATCTGATGTCCCAACAATTAATACCGGTGAGATGTGACACAAGTCTGCTGAGGAGTTCGATCGTGTACCGCAGACTTGAGTCTGGTGAAAGCCCGATAGATTTTTCTCATTTTTGTCACAGAAAGATGTTACAAAAATGTGTTCCAAGACATATTATCGAGTGAAAGCAAAAATACAGAAACATCATGAATATGTGTATTTATATATACCAGAAATTAATATTATTTTCATTCTCTCAGAAGCATTTTAAATTTTTGGTCTGACACATTAAAACTCACCTCATGATTACATACAATGATGTTGTGGCATCACAGAAAGGGTCACACTCCATACATAAAGTGGAACTGATAAAATACGCGTCAGATTTAAAGTAGTAAATAATGGTGTCATCTGAGAAATCTCAGTTGTGGTGAACAAGTTGTGAGTATTGCGAAAGGCACATTCAGATGTATACATCTACATGTTGAAATTCATAGGCGTTATCTAGATCTGAGGTTGTAAGCGATTGAGATCAGTTCCTCGCCACTGTGAACAGTATCTCATTATGTTATAGCAGTGACATTCCAGTTTAATGTGAGAGAAAGGCCCACATTTGAAGGGGTAGACCTTTAATTGTCCTATTAAATATACGTAAATGGTACCGCAAACTGCAAAGAAACAACCAACGAATTCTGGGTCAGCAGCAAGACATTAAACATCAGTCAACCTCTCATTGCAAACATTCGCCTGGATCTGTTGTGGAATGTATTTCGACGTTTGTAGCTCTGGAAGGCATTGATCATGTGAAGGATGCTTACTAGTATATTTTTGAGCGATTGTTGAATATGTAAGGATTGTTTCGCATACCATCTGTCGTAAGATTGAAACAGTGGTTGTGACGTCACAGGGGAGCATGAGCACCTTCTATTTGTAACGACGGTTTAAGGCTATATTTATAAGTGTGACATGAAACTTTATGATAACGTTGATATTTGTAACGACGGTGTAAGGCTACTTCATCTATAATACTAAAGGTTCCCCCTGATCCGAGGAAAAAAAGACGTTAACCAAGGCCCTCTCAGTATCTGGTACATGACTACGGATGCAAAGGATCTAGAACAGATTCTCCCACCTTTTGGTATATGATAGAAATTGCATATCTAGTTTGCGACTCTGAATTTGCAACGAATGTGTACTTGAACCTGCACCTTGCCATGGTCTTAGCCTATGTATACAACTGCAATGTCAAATATGGATTTGCTCGAAAACATTGGCAGCCACAAAACATGACCTTTCTTCATTCTGCTGTCAACCAGAATGATACCAGTGTTCAAGAATGACTTTGTTCCAAACTGTCACTTCAATCGAAGTTACGCAAGGTACTTTGTGACATCATTTTCAATAATATTTCAAGTAGTGATAAATTTCAAATGACCATTGTCCTTGTTTGTTTATGAATTCTTGCCCTAGTATGGTGCTCTACCTTCAGTCGTTAGCAATCTACAGCCTGTTTTTATATTGTCTTGTCATTTATAGTTCCAATATTTTAGATTTAATTGCTAGTTTTAAATGGATATCTGTGATACACTAGTAGTTTTACTGTTCTTCGTCAACAGGTGTTTTAATTTCTAACGTTATTCATCTTTAATATACTTATAAAATGTTCTCGTCACGTCCTGAAATATTGCCGATGTGACGATAAATATTAACTCACTCACTCACTCACTCACTATGAAGTCTTGCAATTGTGAATTTTGATATTCGGGATTTAACATGTTGGTTCCGGTGTTCATCAATGTCAAATCTTTGTCTTTTCCTCTCAAATTAATATAGAAGAATTGAGCAACATGAACATAACTCGCATGGAATGGTGATCAAGCTAGAGTTGCATACCTGTTACTACAATAAAACAACATGGTATCAAGTACTCTAAGTAACATCAGTACCTTGAAGAAATGCATTCCATTGTTAATATTGGTAGTGAAAAAGCTAAAACCTGCTCGTATTGTGGAAACAACAGAGAGTAAATGAGCAAAGTTGCCATCACGTGAGCTAATGTCCCAAAATAGAGCTGACTTACAATCACTGTTGCTGTGAAGTGTTCTGTACATTTAATGCGTTCTCCATGGATTCTTCAGACACTGGTGTCCGTGGAAACGTTCATTTCCGATCACACACATTCGTCCGTATCAATGTCTTCCAATGTTAGGCCAAATATTCTTGATGGCAGCAAGAATAATGTAGTTACATACATACATACATACATACATACATACATACATACATACATACATACATACATACATACATACATACATACATACATACATACATACATACATACATACATACATACATACATACATACATACATACATACAGACATACATACAGACATAGAGACACACACACAAAACATACATACATACATACATACATACATACAGACAGACAGAGACAGACAGACAGACACAGAGACAGACATACAGACAGACACAGACAGACGACAGACAGTCATACATACATACATACATACACACACAGACAGACAGACATACAGACAGACAGAGACAGACAGACAGACAGACAGACAGACAGACAGTCATACATACATACATACATACATACATACATACATACATACATACATACATACATACATACATACATACCAATCGATTAACAATGACATGTTCAGTCTCAGTAAATGACAACAAAAGATCAATGTATAATCAAAAATCACATATTGAAACATCCAGTTTTACCTTTTTAATAATAAGTGAATACAATTGTAACATTGATAAATAATTGACATGCACGTCGTAAGCATGTGTACACAAGGCTGAATCAAACAGGTATCCAATTCGCACTCCTTGTAGTTATAGCCAGCCTTTAGGAAGCTTTCTAATCCCGAAAATTCGCGAAGAATCATGCCTTCAATGTTTCTTATTCCACTTGCTTCCCCCACAGCTCTCGACATTTTACTACCGCTTAAACTGTTTCCTGTTACTGTCATTTAGGATAAGGTAATTTACATGGTCACGATGGCCATATGACACTGTGATTAGTTTTGAAGCCCATAAAGACACAAAAAGGATGTGAATGCTTTATTGGCATTTGCAACATTATATAGACTTCAGCCGATAATTATTCAGTCATCATGTCCTCAGTATGCCTCGGAGAATATTGTACGTGTTAAAGCAAATGTATAGAAGACTCTCTACATTTTGTGTAGCAACTGAATGAACATAACTGAGCAGATAAATAATATTTTTATCAGAAGAAACAGGGACGTTTTTGAAAATACGTGGACTATCAGAGTGAGTTTGAATCCCATTTAGAGAGTTTGAACAGAGGCAATCTTTCTGAGCACTCATAGTAGTGATAGAGGCAAAAAATGTTTTTGACACCCTGTTCGAAAGCTTCAGAGATGCACATTCCGTCATTGCAAAGCTGGAATACTGCTCATAGTGAAGCGCCATACAGCACTAATTCATATATGTAATGACAGCAATATCCACTAGCTTCCTGTATGTACATGAGGATCACAGGACATTACCAACACATCTACTCTGAATCGACCCTGATGGACAGCCTTCCAACGTAATGGCACACAAAGACAAAGGAAATCGAGAGTTCCTTTGTATTGAACATTTGGATTTATATTCAGCAATTATATTCATATCACATGATGCACGATTGTGTAACATTTACCAACGTATTAAGTGTTAAATGTGCTCAATGTATGAAAAGAAACGTTTATGAGACAATGTTAAATGCTGCAATAAATATTGTTTTCCTTCTCAAATATTACTTCTCAGGAAGAAACCAAGGTAGAAGTCCATCGCAAACGGTATTACGTTTTTCGTCATACTAAAATGCGGTTGCTTATATACCCATTTATTGACTTGCATTTCCCTTTCATCTATCTTTGTTTTTGCGTCATCTTATACCAAAGAATCTCTGCTGCCAGGATCACGAAGCTGCACACAACTCCGCCTCCACCAGCAAAGAAGATACTGTGGATCTTGATCAGTGACATGGGTTTAGGGAAGTCCTCCACTGGACACCCGTCATGTGAAGTGGGATGGAACCATTCTTGATAGGAGCGCTGCAAGATGCCGCTGTCGCTGAGATAGGACATGCTGATGAGGACAAGATTAAACAAATTACTTCAAGAAGAGGATGTTATTGACTGTCACACATTAATGAATTTATTGAGATTAAACTCCCTTGTTTGTTTGATTTGTTTGGATGTTTAGAGAGAGTTAGATGCTCAGAATTTATATTCCAAGGCGTGGTTCAAATGTGTGGTCCAATTAACAATTTTACAATAGTATGTATTCATTTTAATCCCCATTGAACCAACTGGGTTACGTATTGTAATATGCAGAGCTATGTCCAAAGTGTGATTACGCAATGCCGTTTCCAAAGTGCTCACTCACCTAACCATTCAGAGAACATATCAGAACAATATATTCAGAACAGTATTTACAAAACCTTTTATTGCACAATATTGATTCGACGGATACGTTACCGAATTAAGAAAAAGGCTCATACCTTTTTTCGAAGTCTCTTTTGTAAGGGGAAGACTTTGGAAGATAGAATGCAATGAAAGCGTTTCCAAATTCGGTATCAATCACATTTAGTTTGCAGTTGGCATTGCTTAATGCTGTAAGTAGCATGCCAGATATGTAGGCGTATTTTCCATTCCAGACTCTTTGCAGGTGCTTGGTGTCATTACTGCTGAATACATCAGGGTCTGTGGTAGATAATTCTTGAACTCTTTGTTTAACTGCCATGGCATCTGGCAGTCTGGAATTCTGAAATTGGTGAAGTAGGGACGATTCTTTAGATATTTAATTCTTTCTATGTTAAAAAAATCCCATGCGTGTGTGTGCGTGTGTTTATGTGATCCAATTGTAAATAGAACTGTGCCTCAAACGTTTCTGTATATATGTTCTGTAATTGGACAAATAACAGCTCTAGTTTCACAGGAGAAGCAAACGCAATACTAACAGCTCTTAAATATATTAATAGACATCCTAAATATGAACAATATATCACATTTTGAGACACTTTCTTGCCTTCAGGCTATTAAAAATCTTTCTTGTAAACATCCATTTTTAATAGAAATTATAGAATTATATAATGATCTTGCTACTGGCCAATACGACATCGTCCTCTGTTGTTACCCAGCCACGTTGGCATTTCTGGGAACACAATGGCCGATCTTGTTGCCAAGGCAGTACTACACAAATCAATGACAGCTCTTCTTATTCCATACACTTATTATAAAGCTGTCATCAAATCTTATATCCGTGATCTGATGCAGAAGAAGTGGGACACCCAAGTGGGTATAAATAAATTAAATGCAATAAAACGTTACATTGGTTATACCTACTTGGTATAAAATTATTGTCCTCCTGAGAGAGTACGTAAGTCCCAAAACATTCAAAGTCAATTTAAAATCTATCAAACCTTTTTAAACGTCGTGGAATATGTGTCTTTTTAATGTATGTCTATATTGCTAGCAGCTGAAGGGATGGTGTAAATCCAACTAGGGTCCATGGAGGTAGCAAATGTACTGTAAGTCCCCATGGTCCCTAGTATGGTGATCTACCTTCAGTTGTTGGCAATATGTAGCCTGTTTTTATTTTGTATTGTCTTCTGAAATTAAGCTGTTTTAGAGTTACATAATAGTTTTATAGTCATATCTGTGATATTCGAGGTGGTTTTTTAAAACATTTATCTTGATGTACTGTAGAATTATTACTTGTGTTTTGTCACGATATGGCTGAAAAATTGGAGATGTGACTTTAAATCTTAATTCACTCACTCACTCACTCTGTAATGGGACGTGATGTAGCCTAGTCACGCGGAAGACCATTCTGCGATTCTTACCTGAAGAAAGTTTTCTGTGATGCTTGATATATCATATCCTATTTTGTAGTCTTGTCTTGCTACCAACTCGGCCATGTTGGAAAATGGTGGATTGTGTCTTTCCACAACAAATATGGCCATGATAGTCCCACAGTAGACAGCTGAGATAATGGCTGTGAACATCCACCATCCAGCGGCCAGGATCCGCTCCGAATCATGTGATGATGTAACGGTTGATCCTGTATGTAAAACGTTACATATAAAACTCGTCCACACCGTAAAAGTCACTATCCGGGAGAAAACAGCCTTAATCATTACAATAACCATTAATTCGTACCGATGAGTTTTCTTTAATCCATAGATGATGTAATTTGGGAAAGACGTTTTAAAGATTGAACATTGAACAATTGACCATATATTAAATTCTATCAAATAACTTGTATACACTTTATTACTGCAAATTTCATACAGAAAATCAAATACAGACCTGTACAAAAAGTATTCGGACACTTGACGTAATTTCCATAGACTCTCATGTTATTTCAGTGTAGCAGAAATAATTTTCATGAAGTGAGTTTAGGATAGATCTTTGTAAAATTTGACAGGCAAATTTGAAATCATCTCTGCTCTGCGCACATAATTTCGGTTCAGTTTTCCGACCACTATTTAACTAATGACATCACATTTATCAACTTGCGTATGGTTCCCCAATGCACAATCCCACAGGACGCCATGTTAAAGGAGTTCAAGGCACTGTACATACCTTGATTAAATTGTTGCCATTCGATAAATAAGCAACGGAAAATTAAACAGAAATTATATGATTGTAGGTAAGATGATTCCTCACAAACGTGCAAAATTTTACTTGGATCTTACGAAATTTAAATTCATGGACATTATTTATGCTACACTAAATTAACAAGTCAGTCTATGGAAATTATGTCAAGCGTCCGAATACTTTTTGCACGGGTCTGTACCTCGAATCCTTCAGTAAATGACTTCTCGCCATATTATAGGTACATACATAATACTGGAAACAGGAATATTTCAAGCCAAAGGTTCTGAAAAATATTTTCTCACCCTGCTTCAGAGTGGCTCCCAGAATTTCAGATGCTGTAGCTGCAGCAGTCTCCATTATCCATGCCACAGTTAGACTCTTATTGTTATTGAATTCATACTTATAGTGGGTTATTCTTATAGCGGACAAGAAGATTATACATGTGATCAGAGACACACCAAATGAAACAAAAACGTGAAGTTGGAACGGCCGGAGAAGGATCAGCAGATGGTCCCTGTCCTCGTCCTCTTTCTTGTACATGATCACTTGTTTGGTTTCCCCGATCGGAGGCAGGATGTAATCAGCAGCTGAAGCACGGTCACTGTGGATATTTAGGATGTCCGATGCCAAGTCAGCCTCCTACAACAATCACAGAGAGATTAAAAATCTATCATTACCAGATTGTTGATATTAATTCTTTAATGTTATTCACACTGTTAGTGATTGCCAGAACACCCTGTATACAACCTGCAGAAACATCCTGCTGTGTGCAGTTTTTTTATGAGAACACCCTGCTGAACACAATTTAGGATAACCCAGGAACACCACGCAGGAACCCACAGGAAAATCCTGTATGGTCAATCTGCAGGAACAGCCTGCTGGAACATCCTGTAGAAACAACCTGATAGAGCACCCTGCAGAAGGGCCCTGTTAAAATACTATGCAGAAACACACTGCAGGAACATACTTCACGGAACACCCCCAAGGAACACTCTGTAGAAACACTCTACAGGAAATCCCCGTGGAATTTAATTTATCCTCTCCAGGTCGGTAATTTGCTACTATCTGCCACTAATTACCCTTCTCTGCAGCATCCCAAACACGCCTGTCCACGAACCATTAACGTCTTTGCCCCATTCATCTTCTCTCGGCGGTATAATCCTGAAACTAATAAAAACGTCTTATGTTTTGTGATATTTAACAATTCAATGAAAATGAATAAACCCTTGTTACAACAGTCTAGGAGAATAAGTAACATACTTTGAGCAAAAAAGTACCGCTAATTGTTTTAAACAATAACACACCGAGACCCAGATGAAGGTGGTTAACTTTATGTTTTACTGAATTCTTGTGGTCCGCCAAAGGCTTCTTTCTAATAGGACTGTTCGGCTTGTAACTTGTAAGATAGTTTTGCCCTATTTATGTGACAGATGCTCTTTGTACAACACGTTCTTCAATATCAATCAATAAATGGGACTAAACCAAACAAAAGTACAAGAATCTGTACTTTACAAAGAAAGTACAATCCTAAATATATAATATGTTACATTGCAGGACCACTTTCTAAATGGGATTGTGTATTCAATCATAATCTCACCTGAAGTTCATAGCTTCAGCCAGCATGTTCAGTACACGAAAAGAAAACCCGAATAACCTCCGCTTGTTCACTTCTATGTCACCAAAGCCATAGTTGTTTTCCTGTAAGTGCGAGCGACAGAAACATTCGCATCATAAATGCCTGATGCATCGTGACTAAAGGACGCATAGCAACATGTTATCAAAAATTGTGTTGCTGGGGTTCAAGGGGACTTACGAAGTGTTTGACACAATTCCAGGTATATGGCGGCTATCTGTGAACTAAGTAGGGTCCCGAGTATTTAGCGACTGACATCATGGGCATCTTGGAATACGATGACATGTATCAAGCCAAGAACACCACACGATCCTGTTAGTTGTCTCATTTGGAAATAGGTTATCAACATGAATTGCATGTAAACGGAAAGGCTTGGTCAACAGGGGCAACCCTGCCTTAATTACCCTGCACTTAATTACCAGCACATCACAGAAGGCTTTAGTCGCATCATATAAAACTATGGACTCTAACTAAGAATATATATATATATGTGATAATAAACAGTTCGTAAAAACACATTTTATGTACTATGAAAATAGATTATGCTACCTTCATGACGGCAGTAAATTGGCGTCCATTATACCCAAACTTCACGTTAGGGAACACGTCCGTAGGATTTCTTACTGTTTCATTGCAAAGAGCCACATCCATGAAAGCGCGTCCATCAGGGTAGAACATCAGTGTCCACATCCTTGATTTTGTATAATTCACCTGGTATCAAGAAGCTATGCATTAGTTTAACATTGACTTATTTAACTGTTTGAGATTCCAGAGGAACCCTTCTGTTAAGTAACACCAGAGAGTCTGTGCCAGCTGACTTACGGCTTGTATCGTGACCTATGAGATATTATGATATTTATTTATGATATTTATTTAGCGTACATATCCACGTAACTAGTACATGCTAGGGGCGCGGTTGGCGAGCCGGTTAGCGGCAGGCTAGTGATCCAGAGAGCTTGGGGTGTCAGGATCGAGCCCACCTGTGACCGGGTGTAAACACCTGGGAGTCAACTTTGTGTGCAGACTCTTTCAGGGTTGTCACAACCCCTAGTGTACAGTACACAACCCTGTGCACTTTAAAGAACCCACGAATCCGTTTGTAGATGACCAGATTGTGGCCACATGAATACGTGCAAACGCCTAGTTGCGGGTACAGCAACGTGCAGTAAACTTGGACAAAGTACTTGGACTATGTGTTTCAGTCCCCCAGCTGTGAATGGGTACCTCATTAGGATGAGAAAGCTGACAAGTGTGAAACTCGGTGCGCCCAGTGGCTGTAAGAGTTATATGATCCCCTAGGGAGGTCAGATTGATAATACGATGTGACGTTGAGATTGACATCCAGTGATCGAGGGAAATACCATCATATCAACCTATGACGTTTAGTGGTATTGTGCCAAAGTCAGAAGCTCTCGTTGGTTGAGGTATGATGACTTACAATACAGCAAATCACACAATAACAAATCGTACTACCCATTCATGTTACCTACAATGGGACACCAGGGAAAATTGTGCCAAGGATCCTACTGGTGTTGAGTTTGACATAACTATGAAATTATTAATTGTTGACAACATTCCATATCTTGACGGTATGGTCTACCAGACGTGCAATAGCTTACCTGACATGAAGGAAGTTCCAGCAATGCCAAATTCTCCGCCTGGACGTTGCTGTCCAAGAGTACGGGTAAGTCATTTGATGTCCCGACAACCAACACCCTTGAGACGTGACACCAGTCAACCGAAGAGTTGGATCTTGTTCCACAGATGCGAGACTTGTACATTAAAAATAAATCAGTTATCAACGTGATACGTCTTACAGTGACATTGAATAGGTGACGTGTTTGGGGTCAAACTGTTAAATCAGTCTCGATGCTGTGAAAGTGTTTACCACGAAGGGCCCCAACGTTGAAGATGTACCTGATATCTTTCAGAGTAGAAGTGAAATGTGTGTTTCAAAATGAATAGGGGAGTAAACACATTTTGTTAACAAAAGTCTACACCGGTACATTCCCGGATTGATCAAATAAATTGGTTGAAGTCACTTATCAATAAATGCCACACATAAGTTCTGTATTTCAGCTAAAAAAAAAAAATTCTGTCGAATCCATACATCAGTGCAATGGACTCGTGACTTGAATCTAAATCCTACAGAAAGTCCCATTCCCTTTTTGGACTGGATTTCAAAACTAAGTGCAAAGACAACGCTGACAACGTTATGGGTGCACTTATTGTACCACAAAGTTTACCTGTTTAAAAGTTAAACCATAGGTATGTCACACGTTGAAAACGTTTTTCTTCTTAACGGAGCATATGAATGTATGACGTACCAGTTGACGTAAAACTGAAACAGTCTTAGTGACGTCACAGAACAGAAGCATATCGAAGCGAGGCTGTACACGTTTCTCCACATCTCTCAGGATTGTCAACAGGTGTTGTTCGGTGAACGAACTGAGGTCATAGTCAACACTGGAAATACCTGAAGTTTCCAACGAGCTGGTAAAATGTATGTCTGAAACAAGTTAGAAAACTAAGTATGTGATCACTTAATTAGATATGTAGTAACTTCTAGAATGTTTAACCTTTAAAACACACACACACACACACACACACACACACACACACACACACACACACACACACACACACAATAAATAAAAATAAATAAAAATAAATAAATCCCAAATTCCCCAGTAAATGACAAATTCCAAAAGCTCAACATTCGCCTCTTGTAGTTGACACTAAACGATCATGGCAGCCTTATTTCAACTTGAAATACCTATTCATTTAACTGAGACAGAAACGTTCCTCTTACTATTACTAAAGTTTCAGCTGTTGTGAAAGATTCTAGACTAATATATTTTGAAAACTCCAAGGACTTTTTGAATATATCAAATAAAGGAGTTAACAGGTTGTTTATTTTGGTTCACACTGCAACGGGAAACATGTAATACCACGCCCGTAAACGTAATATTGACATGCATATGTCACTGTCAGGTCACGTGACAGTAGTGACTATCATGTAGTACATGTACTACTATGAATAGCTCTTCAGTGTGCTTCGCCGGGTGGCCCTCGAGGACTAAAAACCTTATGATTGCTTTGTACTCAAACTTATCCATTTCTGGCGTTCCAGTAGGGGCATATGTAGTTCACGTGACCCGAAACTACCTACAAGTGCATGTCAATATTATGTTGATGTGAATGATATAAACCATTCTTCATAATAGTTATTTTTATTATGCACATATCGCAAGTAGTTTAGGCTCAAAACGTTTTGATAGCCCCTCAAACGTAAGATTCCGACAAGATTATAATGTCAAATTAGATGCATATATTTATTAAAAAGAACACAAAAACATGGATGATGTAAAATCATAAATAGAATTCGTCAATCGTGTTTTCTAATATGGGAAATATCAACCTCGTCACATTGATCGGTTTTTGCCTCACTCAAGACCCTCATTCTCTTCACGAGAATTCTGCGATAACACCAAGCGTTTGTGAATGTATTACATAGGTAACTGCCCAGCACCCATTACTCAGCAAATTGCAAAAAAAGGATAACAGCCAGCAGGAGGAAGAGTGAACAGAGAAGGTCAAGGCCATAGCAAGGAATATTATGAAGTAAACATGCGACATGCTGTGCTAATTCCTCTGAGTGTCTTGTAGATACTTTCTGGAATGACTTAAAATGGCATGTAATGTGAAACTCAATTGAATAGTTTAATTGTCTTTCAGTGAAAATGTAATACACACGTTCTGACAAGTATAAACAACCGGGCCCTGCTACCCTCTCTGGATAGGGGCTCGTGGAGATCCTGGATGATCATGAACATGATGGAACTAAACAACTGGAAAATCGATCTAATCCCTTTTGTCCTGCAATTTTGCAAGGAGACTGTCATCACTATCGGAGCCTAGGTCCAAGTAGAACACAGAACATGGCTCAGATACGATATGTTTACAAACACCACAATACTGCTGAAACAAATACCTGCTCATGTTA